ACCGAACCACCCATCCACCCACCTACAACCCCCCACCCCCACCCATTGCAGCAGCAGCCTTCTCATATTGCCATAGTTGTTGTCTTCTCCTTCTTGTTGTTGTTGTTGTTGTTGCCGGGACTGCCGAAAAAGTTTTATACATAAGCGGAAGCTTACAGAAAAACCCCTACCCCCAAAGGACACCCCATCGAAAAGCCAGTAGAAACAGAACTCATTACAAAATCAATAAGTTAATTTTCCCTTTTTTTTCATTTACTATTTACGTGACATTTTTTTATGGCGGAGTTTCTGCTTATTTAATCAATAATCAAACTTAAGAATTCTACAGTTTCATCTTCTTGCAATTCAGTATACATATGTACATATGCCGTTATTATATGGAGAAATAAATAAATAAATTCCGTTGTAAACATTAGTTAATTCCACTGGCTGCTTTAAATTTAAGTTGCGTGTCCTTCTTGGTCGCGCTTAATCGATTTTTTCAGGAGCAGCAAAGCCAAAGTTAAGACCACCCACTCATCCTCAGGCCGAAAGCACAAGGGGATCCATATAAAAATATATATAAGTAAAAACAACTGAAGAGACAGAAAAACTCCCAGAAAGAAAGGGGAGGTGCGGACATTTGGGATGGGAAAGATGGTTTGAGGTTTAAAGTTTGAAAAAATCCAAACAATAAACGAATTCCTTTGGCTGAACAATTTCGCTCTCTCACCCTTTTCATATCGCTTGGGATTTTTATAAAATTCTTAGCCTTCTTTAAAAAAAAATCAGAGAAAATGTTTGAAATATTTTTATTTATCTGGATTAAGTACGATAATAATTGGTTCAAAGCCAAACACAAATTTAAGAAAAAAAAAGTTAAAAAACTTAATTTAACTCCTCAATAAAATATGTAAAAAATATATAAAAATCTTAACAACAACTTCTTGATAGTAAACTAGCGTAGGGAAAAACATAAAACCTCACAGCTATTTTCACAAATAAACAATTATCAGTTTTTTGTATTGATAATTAAATAAACATCTTATCTATTCTTCGCTTTGACCTTTCCCGCCTTAAACGTTAGTAGTTTTTAGAGAATTTTGAGTTGAGAAGCATTAGGCAAAATCGCTTATAAAACTATGTTTTAGTTTTAAGAAAAAAAAAATAAATATGTCTTTCTCTCCATCAAGAAATTACAAAATCTAGTGTTATCGTAATCGCACAATAGCTCTTGAATCGTTTCTAGATTTTGATTTATAGTTCAGCATGGTTGTTGATGTTGCAGCTGGGTTTTTGCTTTACTTGTCGACAGAGAGTTTAGTTTGGTGCATCGGCTTAGGTTTAGGTACTACAGTACCACTCATTTCCCCCCATCGTCCGTACCACCACCCCCAACCCCTCTGCCCGACCAAAAACAACAATGCTCTGCGGACGCTGCATGCAACTATTGAAGCATGAACATGCAATTTATGTACCTATATGTGCATATATACCTACGAACTATGAAATACAGCAACAACAGCAGCAATAAGCGACTGTACTTTTGATATAAAATCCACTCCACTCCACTCCACTCCATACATGGAAAACCAAACAAACACAATCGCACATACAGTGCCGATATACGTATGTATGTATATAGCCCCAAAAAACCCCCCACACCTCCCACTTTTAGAGACACCCACTTGGAGTGGAAAGCTCTGTTTAGTTTTAGTTGCGCTTTAAACTGCATTTCGGCTTGCGATGCGTTGTTGTTGTAAACTGTACATAGAGAATTGCATGGGTGTAGAAACCGGAGGGGGGTTACATTGTGCAGCAATCGAAATAGAAAACAACTGCAATATGTTTGGTTCCAACGAATGCAGATTGAATCGGCAGAAAACAGCACCAGATGCATTGCAAGCAGCTTCAACCAAAAAAAAAAAAACAGATTTTACACCCTAAACATGCCACCCTCCAATCCCAGTTGCCATCTATAAATCGAAACTTTTACAGAAGCTATATGTATTGGATGGGGAAAACTTGGAAAGGTCTGCCAAATGGTGCGGTATAAAGCGAAAGTGGCTTTTAAGTTTATATAATAGGGAAAAATATACTTCAGAGTTGGTTTGGGCTTAAATTTAAATGGGGCCCTGTTAATACAGTTAATTCTTAAAGTTGAAGATTAGGAAATATCGTTACTCAAAGAATTAAAATAATCTTTCGGTAGCCGTAATGGATTGAAATATATTCTTTCATTGATACCTGGGATATTTTTGGTGTTTCCTGACAAGTATGTTTCGATGCCCTAAAATTCGATTTATGAAAGTGATATAATGTTTATTGTTATAAGAAAAACAATGAGATTTGAACTTTGGACCAAAAAACGTTCCTCTAACCCAAATTTGAGGTTAATCTTTGCTATCGACAGCAAGTGCAAGGAAGGTGGGTTGCAAAACTCAGAAAGGGGTAGGTGAAAGAATAATGGAGGTGCTGCAGAGTTGTTGCTCCACTTGCTCAAACAAAAACGCACGAAAAAGACGAAAAGAGAATTTCGGCTATCGAGCTGCTCCCCCAACACTCTCACACACTTAGAAAGAACACACACGTACTCTAAAACTCACCTGCAAACGCAGGTAAATTGACATCTGTGTGTGCGATTGAGTGGTATGTGAGTGTGTGAAGCTGACACGGCAACAAACAATGGTAAAACGCTAAAGCTACAGCGATAAATCTAGAACCGGGAATTCTAGTTCCAATCTGCCAGATATTTTATTATTTCGATTTAATATTTACTTTTTATGGCAACTTGGTAAAGTCTATTAAAAGGGTTTTGTGTAAGGAATTTTTTTATTTTAATTTAAGATTCAGTTACATATTAAACAACTCGAAATTAAAACACATAAATGCTTCCACCAATTAAGTCAGATTTTATAAAATTTATTTATACATGTGTGATATTAATTTATTCTTCTTCTGAGTATTGCTCTGATAAAAGTAGCAAAATAATTTAATTCAATATTTCCTTAAATAAAAATGATAAACTAAAAATTCCAATAAATCTATGATTATTAGGTGGTCTTTCAAACAATTACAAAATATTGATAGTCGGGTTTCAATGTCTGTGGGTTTGTACATATACAAGTCAAGTTTTTATAGCGTTTTTGATTTACTCATTTTAAAATCATTATTAACAAAATAGTACTCATTTTTTTATTGCTCAAATTTTATTGTAATCAATCAATGTTTCAAAAAAGTCCCTGGCCTAATAAAGTCTTCTTAAAAGTAAGATAGTTTTAATGACTTGGATTTGAAACACCCCCTAACTTTTGAATTTTACCTGATCCACCGTGAACTAGTTCCAATTTTGGTTCCCCATATTGCCCCTTAGAATAACAACAATTACAACTACTGGTGCAACAAAAACTACAACTACACCAAAACAATAACAACAAAAACAGCTAGAAATGCGGGTCTGGGTCGTAAAATCGAGACTAAAAAGAGATGAGACGAGAGGCGAAGAGAAATGCAAAGAGGAGGAGGAGGATGGGGACACTCGACGAGACGGCGAGAATGCAGTGCACATAAAGAATGCCAAAATAAGTTTAAAACTAACGACGAACCGGGTTTTAGTGCGTCCGCCAGTGTCTGTATATGTGTGTGGGAGCGAGACAGTCAGCAAGGTGGTTTTTTGTAAGCCTGTGTATTTGTATTTTGGGGCATGCATCTTTGCCGAAAAATGCGTATGACGGGAGGGTGAGTGAAACAGAGGGTGGAGGACCCCCAAAAAAAGAGAGCACCAAATGGAAGAGAGAGTTTCCGAAACAAGTGCATTTCTATGTGTGTGTGGGGTAATTTTCGAGAAATTAACAAGTGTTGCAAAGCGCAAAAAAGTGCGTGCGGGTAATTAGCAAAAATAAATAAAGAAATATAACAGGGAAAGTTCATTAACACAGTTAAAAAAAACCCGCCAACCACTCATTCATAATCAAGAAATGTGTGTATAGATAATGGAACAAAAAAAGAAGAGGCGACAACCCCTTCCGAAAATGAAAAAGAAAAACCGTGGCAACTCGGTCGAGCGGCAAGGCAACAAAAACAAAAAAAGTAGCAGCTGAAACAAGCGCCTAAGCATGGCGTCACAACAACAACAACAGCAACCACAAATAAAAGCTATAAAAATTGTCAATATAGAAGAAAGAAAGGCAGCAACAACAAGAAGCAGGCTTTTGAGCTTTGCGAAATAATGCGCGAGAGTTAAAGAAGAAGAAGCCGCCAACGCTGAGTGCGACGCCGGCAGAGCATTTTTAACGAGCCGAATGACAAGCGCACACAAACACAACCACACAGAGATGCTTATGCAGATGCTCACAGACGAGGGTGGAACAATACCACCAACAGTGTGAGAGGTCCATTTTGAGTTAAACAATTATTGAAATTTCTTAACTTTGGACCAAAGACTATAAGTCTACACAATCTATCAATTAATCATACATAAATCGATTAATTTATTTTGTATTTGTAAGAATATTTTGTTTTACCTTAAGATAAAGGTTCTAATAACTACATTTAATTGAAACTTTAAGAATAATGTTCACAATGGAATACACTCTTCAATGCTCTATTTGTCAATTAAAAAATAATCAGCAAGACAACGACGTAACATAAAAAAATGTTATACAAACATTGTTCTCCTTTTTATTTTGATTACCTTAACTGTTGTCTGTTCTACAGAATGTCGTAATAATAGTTTTATCAACCTAATTGCGGATTTTATTGAATGTTTGACTTTAATTGCCACTATTGCATTGACCTCTATTGTCCGAACACACACACACAGTCGAAGATGGGCGACATGCATACGAGACCGGTTGAGGTTAAATTGGATAGTAGCAGAGAGAGAGCGGGCGAGAGAGGAAAAGGGAGAGAGCGAGACGGAGATGGAGCTGCTCTCGCATACATATTGAATTTTTCTTCTTTGGCGTAATGAAAATTTTAGCACTGTTTTGGGGCACGAAGAAGAAGAAAAGAAAACTTACCCGCGTGTGAAAATCCGTTACTTTGGTGGCGCCTCTGCCGCTGCGCTGCTGCTGCGGAAACTCCTTTTGGATTTCCCAATTTTGCATGCACAAAACTATATGGATCTCACTTAATTAAATGCACTGCTTATGTATTATGTACACGTTATATGCACTTATTCGCTGGTATATATATTTATGTGTGCACGCTTCGCCAACACACTTTCAGCGCGCTGCTCTTGCGGCGGCTTTCCCGAATTATTTTACACGCACTGCAAATTATTTTGTTTAATAATTTTAATTTGAGTTTTTGTTTCCTTTTTTATTCTTTTTTTTTAATTGTTTACTATTTCAAAGATAGGGGGACACACGCACACAGACACGCCGCTTTATGCACTTGTGTGCGGCATTATTTCACTCCGATTTCTTTGTAAAAAGATAATGATATTGTATTGTATCGCCCGTTATCTCTGGATTAACAGCTGCAACTCGATTTTATTTTAATTGTGCTTGCTAGCCGCTCCACTCACGCACACTCACTCACTCACACAGACGAGACCGCGAAGCACGTCCGAACGATCCGAAGGCCGAAAAAGTAAAAAAATGTTTGTTTTGTTTTCCGTTGGAGGTGGAATCAACTCGATTGCTATTCGATACTATCGACAAATCTTATTGCGTTAGGGATTTTCTGTTATCGCGTTACTGCTTATCTCTCTCTGATTTCCGCTCTCTCGTTTAATAAACAAATGTTAGAGTGCATAACCGGCAGCACCTGTTTATTTATTTACTTTTTTATATCTTACAATTTTTTTGATTATATCGATTGTTTCAAATAACACATATGTTTATTTCAGCATTATCAACACGGATGGTATCACTCTATATTGTTTGACCTTAGCTATGATAGAATTCGAGCTCGAATTGAACTTTAGCACATACAGCAACCTATCCAAATTACATTTCGAAATTACTTTTTGGCGGTTTTTTTATTTATTGTATGTCTGATATTTGCACATATTTTATTTAAGAATATTAAACTCTGCGTATTATTTTTAAACCTTGTTTAATTGAACAAAGTTTTCCGACTGATGTTTGATGTAAGATTTACGGCAGTCCATATCATCAGCGGGTCGGTTATGTGGGGCCCACACGGGCTCACCAACGAAATAGCGTCGAGTTCTAATAAAATTCTATAAAAGGGCAAAGACAAAATTAATAAATCAAATAATAAAATATAAAGTTTACATTGGAATCCAAAGTAAAGCGGTGATAGATGCCAGAGGGTATTATAATCAGATCTCCCTTCACAACCAAAATGCGCAGCCAGTTATCCTCGTTGCTAGAATATATAAATAAAATTAAATAAAAATGTGATCATAAGAAAATCATTTCACTTAAATTTTATTTATTGTTCTAATATTTGTATTTGAATATATGATATTAATATTACTGATATTACTGAATTAATTGATAACAAAATGTAAAATGATGTTAAGAAAGTTTTTCATAAGCTTTTTAAGAGTTATAATATTGGATAGTTTAAGCTGGTACTCACTCGCGAACATCAAAGTAACCAGATCCATCCAAAATTAGGCGAATTTCCTCATCCGTATGAAGGTGTTCGGTGAAAAAAGCCTTCAATTTGTTGGCATAATCTGGGAGGCACTTTTCCGAGCAGGTGATCTGTAATAAATCGGGAAAATATAAGGATTATTTGAATTTTATTATGGAATCTCCGATCTTGCCTCATCATCATAAGTGTAGCCACGTTGTGCCCTCAGTTCCGTGAGAGTATTATCGTTCTGGTATTCGTCGGCATTGATCTGCGAAAAGTGAATAATCAAGATAAGCTCGCACTCAAGGTCATTTAAGGTTTAAAGTCGTAGTTTCACTTGCTTTAAAGTATTCCACACCGGTTTTCTTGTAAAGATCATCTAGTTCCAAATAAGCTGGGGGATTCCGATGGTGCTCCAAACGCTGATCGGTTTCCTCAGTGTCCATATACCAAACTTTCACCATTTTTGAACTGTTCTAAACGACTTTTAACGAGCAACTAGAAACATAAAGAGTAATAAAAATATTAAACTGCCGTCAGCTGTTTTTTGTTTTCGAATTTTCGGTATAGATAACAGAATTTAAAACGAATACCACTAACGCTGTTAATTTAACATTCGAATTGCGACAACAAAATTCCGTTAAAATTCGATATATAAAAATTTTTGTTGTGTATTTAGTCTAACAATAAACCCTATACTAATAAAACTAGGATTTTCTAAATATCCTTAAAGTTTTTTGTTTCGAAAACATCATCAATGAAGTTGGTGATAATTATTTTAAAAACGTCCTTGAAAAAATACCAGTTGTTCTGCAATATCCCATATAGCATTAAGGAACCAAATTTATTTTTTAAAAATGAATTCAAATATTTGTTTGTGCTTTTTTTTATTATGCAAACCGGTTTAATTAAAAATTGTGTTTATATTGCAGCTTTTCAATACTTCTTTTATTTTTCGTTTATTAGGTATAAAATATTTGGGCAGTTTTAATTGCATTTTTCGACTGAAAATGGATAAAAAGTATTTAAACTGCCGTTGCCTGCAGCCAATACAATAATTATTATTTATATTTGTGGTACATGAAAATGCTTAGTTCCTTGTTTTAAGTTACATTTATTAGCGTTACAAAGGAGCATAGGATTACGCAGTCAGCTTGGAAAGCTCCTCACGCAGCTCGGCGGTGTCGATGGCTCCCTTCGCTTGGGACTGCGATTGGTTTTGGGATTGGGCCAGCAGGCGGGCGCAGTTCTTCTTGTGCATGAACCAGTGGAGTCGTTGGCACTCCCGATCGCAATACTGCACCGCCCTGCATTTGGAGCACTTCTTGTCCGGCTTCTCCGCGCCGCAGGTGCTGCAGTAACTGCCCTCGTCCTGAAACAGAAATTTTGAGATTTAAATACACTTTGTTCTATAATATTAAACTATCTGAATAATTAAAATAATATTATTTGAAGGAATATCACTTAAAAATTCGTCTACCTCTTAATTTCATGATTTAAAGTTAAATATTGAGGAAACATTTTAACAAGGTAGCTATACAAATTGAACAATTTTTGTAACTATGTTCTATTAACCGTTTTAAAGTCACTAGACATTTTAAGATGGATATTTTTATAAATGTATCATCAAGAATCAAAATGTGTTTAATGGCTAATAGAACCCACCACAAATCCTCTCATTCCATTGATAGCATTTCGGAGGATAGTCAAAGCTGGCGGTGCATCCTTGGCGCCTAGTTGCGTGGCTATTTGCCGGAAGATGGTGCACTCCCTTACGGGAAACTCGCGGGCGCACTCCCTCAGCGTGTATTCAACGTAGTCCAGCTGGCCAAGCTTGTTCTCCTTGAGCACCCGTTTCACGAACATCTCAATAAAGTCATTCTTGTTGGCATCGCCAACCTCCTCGGCGCCTTTTTCCTTGTGCTGGGCCTTAAACTGCTCCTCGCAGCGAATCAATTCGGCCAGGATCCAACCCTGATAGTGAAACTTAAAGGCGAGGAGTTCGTTGAGGTCATGGGACTTTTGCATCTCCTTTTCGCACATCAACGACAGGGTTTTGCGGAGGTTAGACAGGATCCTAAGTAATCCCAACGACTGGACATTCAGGGCAATCCTCACGGGATGCAAGTTGATTTCGGTGACAAAGGCATGGAAGGATTTAAGTAAACTGGGTGGAATCTGGGGCTCCGTTTGCTGGCCATGAACTTGGGTGTAGTACTCCAAGCTCGAGCGGGTCACATAATTGTTGATGGTCTCCACGCAGCCGTGGTTGCCCACAAAGGCGGCCATTTGGGCGGCGGTCCTTTGGACACTATTAATGCTACTCGGTTTGATACCCGCATCCAAAAGTTGCCGGCACACGTGTGTATTACCAGATAAGGCAGCGAAATGCAGAGGCGTATAATCAGCTCCATGTTGATTGAGGTTTATGTCGGCACCCTGTGAAAGGAAAGGGAGTCATTAAGGAATCTCTACTTGAGAAAGTTAAGAAAGCCAGAAACACCGAGACTGAAGATTCGTTTGAAACTTGGTAAGAAGAATGATTATACCTCAGATTCATCAATAGATTATCTTGGGATCGGGGATAAATAAGGTGTGAGTAGCAAATATAGATTATGTTAATCAATTATCAACGATTCTATAAGCTCTACACATTCAGTTATATCTACTCGGGATTGTAACATTAGATAAAGTATTTGATATTACATAGATCCTGCTTATAGAATCCATGGTTCTACGAGTTCTGCACGCAAGTTTACAGGTAGATCAACCCGGTGCACAACACAAAGGGAAATATGCCTCTAAATAGAGACACCTGTGGTCTAAGTAGTAGATAAATCAACATATTGTCCAAGTACCAGGTATACCCACCATATCCAGGAGCAGCTGAACCGCCTCGCGATTTCCCTTGAAGCTGGCGTGCGCCAAACATGACATCCCACTGTCATCCACGAAATTCACATTTTGGCAACCGACCAGCAGTTGCTTGAATCCACTGGTGTCATTTTTGGCCAGGCGATCCAGTAACTGGCGCTGCAGGTCGTCCAGCTGCGGGTTCTTGCTCTCCTCGGTCATTGTGGGTCGGTTTTTTACAGGATATTCGCTGGGATTCTCCGGAAAATGGTAATCAAGAAAACTCCACTGTTTTCGGCGTGCACGGGTTTACAGCGATAGTTTATGCGTTTTGCAGCACTGATTGGATGTGCGATATATCGTTTGGTTAACGGTAGTCACTCAAATAATTTTAACACAATTTCAAATAGTTGGTTAAATTTCTTGCGTTAAAGAGTTAAATAAATAATTATCAGATTGTTGTTTTAAAACGAGTCACTAGGTAAATAAATAAACCCATTCACATCTCTCTATGTAGCGAAGGAACTCCAAAAAGCGGATATAAATTAGAAATACATTAATCCAAGTCAATATTTTTAAAGAAAATAAAAATTGTGCACAGTTAATTTTATTAGTTTAACTTGGTTTTTTGTGGTATAGTTTTAGTATTTAACTCTTGTTTATTTTAGTATTTTTGCTGTCCTCATCCCGTTATTATTTAACATCACGCGACGGTCTGTCTACTGTTCTGTTGTTGTGTTTTTTGTGTGGCGGCGTGTGTATCGCATTCGCATCGAATTGAATCCAAGAATCGTGTGTGTTTTATGTGTCTTCAAACAAATACAAGCATTTTACCCCGCGAGGTGCCAAACATATTGTAGGCGCCATTGCGCTTCCTTAAATAAAATACAAAATAAACAAAACCCGTTCAGTGGAAACAAAAGGTGATAAGCGTGCAGAAAAAAAAAGGAAGATGAAATGAAATTCCAATGCAGACGAACCCTTTGGAAATGTATAAATAATAAAAGTGAAGATAAGCGCGCAAAATAGCGAAACAGGCGCAAAAAGGAGAGCAAAAGAGCAAGATAACGAAAAGCCAGATAAACAAAAGCCACACACACATGGTCACAATTCTTGAATAAAAACAAGACCATTTTAGTTGCTCTTTTTTTTCGCAATATGTGTTTACATGTGCTGTGTGAGCAGGAAAATTGCCTTTTCCTACTAAGAACGATGTGTGAAAATTGGCCTTGGTGATTTTCATTTTTTTTTGTTTACCATTTTCGATTTGTTTCGATTCGCAGCATTTCCTGCGAAACACACATAAATGAAGTGTGAGAGAGACACATGGCTCTTCTCCTTTTAATCTTCTTCTCTCCTTTGCTCTCCCACTCCTCTTCACCCCCCGCAGTGCAATTTCAGAGGTCGAAAATAATACAGTAAATATTGGATACGGTGGAAACAAGAGTGAAAAATCAGAAATGTTCCTTTTGTCCATTTTCATTGTTCAATATTATTCTACAAAATAAATTAAAGTATTAAAAGAAATGTTTTTTAAATATAAAACTACTACTCAACTACTTTCAATATAAAATCAATACAAATTCTGTTCATGGTTTGACTATTTAAATTCAATCAAAATAGACTTTGGAAAATATATCTGAAAATCATCTTTAAACTTTTTAATGGTCTGTTAAATTAATAGTTGGACCTCCACGGGAAATATTTCATATTTGTTTTAATAATTGTTATAAGTCAACCTACAGTACAAGAATTTTCCTTTTCTAAAACCATCTGGGATATTCTTTGAAGGGGGCGGAAAACATTGAAAGGCCAGACCTTTGTTTTCACCATTTTTCCCACCCTTGATTGTCGTTTTCCATTGTCCTCCAAAGTTGAAACAAGTTCCTGAATGCAGCTTCCCCCACAATCGACCTCCACCAAGTATCCCTAGCAACATTTGCAGCTGCTTTTTATGGAACCAGAAAATTTATTAAGCCCTTTTGTGACAACAGGTGCAACAGCTGCTCATATATTCTTTTTGTATTCCCATCTCTCGCAGTGCTCAAAAAAAAAAAAAACCAAAAGTGCTAATTAATAATCAAAATATAAAAGAAAAACCAATACTACGATATCCACAACACAATAAGTATTAGTTAATCAAAGAAAATGGGAAAGCTGCTGAGCCTTCTGTCACGCGACGACTCGAATTGTTGCGCCGCCAAATCCTACGATGTCTTCCTGGATTTCGAAAATGCCGCGCCCACGGAAACAGAGCGCGAGGTCTACGACGAGGTGGAGCGAGTTCTCCGGGAATCGGAGGTGGTGCTGGACGAGATACAGATCTATCGGGTGAGTCTCGCTTTACCATATGTGCGTCATTTGCTCTGGGTTTTACCACAACCCCTTCAACCGGTTATTAGGCATTTGTTTAATGATTTCTATAGTTCGAACTATTATGTGATATACGACTAATTTGACTTATAGATTATTTATCTCAGGAAAACAATGTTTTAAGATTACTCTTAGATTTCTAACGCCTCGCATATTCAATATAAAGCTAAATTTGACTTTTAAAAAATTGTATTTTAGAGAAGTTTTTTTAACGCTCATGTGAATTTTTTTCTTTAATAAATAAATGTTTGCAGTTATGTTATTAATATTTAACTAACAAAAAACTATAACGTAAGTTCA